AAAAAAAACACCCAAAAAAACACACACAAAAACCACCAAAAAAACCCCCCACAAAACAAAAACACAAAAAACCCACAAAAAACCCCACAAAAACCCCACCAACAACTCCAAACAAAACAAACAAATGGATTAGGGGACACTCACCACCCTGGAGCTGTGTGGGTTGGCCAGAGTGCCCGCAGTACTGAGAGAGCGGGCCACGGTGAGCGCAGCGCTGAGGTACTTGAAGGAGTCCGTCTCACACCCTCCTCCTGCCGCCTCCAGTAGCTGCCTCTGGATGGACAGGGCGCATTCGGTTTTACCGCTTCCGCTCTCACCGCTGAGGAGGGAAAGTAGATATGAGGAAATGCTGGGTTTTTTGTTTGTTTGTTTTGTTGTTTTTTTGTGGGTTTTTTTTGGGTAGAGGGTTTTACATACGGCGCTCGCAACTGCATTAGGTCATATGAGCACCAAGGGGTGGGTGTCAACAGAGAAGTCTTTGCAGGGAATCAGACTTACTCTGCTCACCTCTCTAGCTTCAACAGCACAAAGTCTGCTTCGACTATCAAGGCACCCTGGAAATAGCGGGTCACAAGAGAGTGACAAACATACCAAAGAAGTAGATGAAAATGACAATAATAAGGATTAGGAAAGAAAAAGCAGCAGTTCCCTGTTGTAGATCAGGCACAGTTATGAGCGTGACATTGTTGAATCAGCCCTTTTACAATTCTACTGCGCCTAAACGAGAAATGTCCCCCCTTTGGGAATGGCCTAAAGACACTTCAGTCAGTGGCACCGCCCCGGGGGTGGAAATGCTGTAAAATGCCGCAAGGAAACATTCCAAAACTAAAAAGAACACATGAAGCCAACACTCCCTATTTGAAATGGTGAAATGGTATAGGTTTAACGCCATCAGATTCCAATGATCAGTGTACATCGCCACGATAGCGGCTTCCGATGTACAATCAGAAACCGACGGTTGGTATACTTCGTCATGATGTTGGAATCCGATGGCACAGCGAAATCCAACGACCGGTATATATCGGCATGATGTCGGAATCCGATATCCGAAGTCGGTATACATCGGCATGATATCGGAATCCGATATTCGAAGTCGGTATACATCGGCATGATGTTGGAATCCGATATTCGAAGTCGGTATACATCGGCATGATATCGGAATCCGAAGGTACGTCGGAATCAAACGGTCGGTATACATCGGGACGATATTGAAATTTGATGTATCATCGGATTCCGATAATCGGTATACCTCGTTACGATGGCGGATTCTGATTGATCATGGGAATCCGATGATCGGTGTACATCGGAATGATGCTGGATATCGACGTACGGTCGGGTTCCGACGCCTGAACAACGTCGGGACGATTTTGGTTTCCGCCACTTTCGTTTTTCGATGGCTGTCCGATGATTTTTGGTGTTGTTTTCCGACGTTATCAGTTATCACCATATTATTATGTGTAACCTATATCAGTGTAACTTTAGAGTACCAGTTAAATCAATATTTAATAAGACATCAAAGACCTTGGTATAGCTTGCAACGTTCTGCATCACTGTTTTCCGAGAGTTTAAAAATAAAAGTACGACCAATAAACAGCTCAAAAGAATAAAGTAGAAATGAAATAGAAAACAAAAATTAGAAAAACAAATATTATTATACATGTATAATCTACTAACCTGATCAAAACAACAAGAAAAAAACACCCAAAAAGCATGACCAATATGCAGCTGAAAAAGGATAAAGTAGAAATGAAATAGAAATAAGATAAACTTTGAAAATAAATTTTAATAATTACTAACCTGATCAAAACGACCTGCGGCTGGTTCGAATCTGCATGCTGAGACAGAACTGTGCCCACGATGCCAGCCATGAACTCTGATTGGCTAGGCCTGTTCTTGGCCACGCCCTGTTTGAGCTGCAGAGGCAGGAAGCCATTCCGAGAAGGGCCTCGTCTGCTGACGTCATGATCAGCCTCGGTGGAGGGACTTGCTGCACTACGAAGAACGTGTGTGCGTGGGATCAAGGTGAACGGGTTCACGCTCACTAGTTGAGGCCCGATCAGTGTCTGAAGGGAGGAGATAGGGGTTTAGATAGATAGATAGATAGATAGATAGATAGATAGATAGATAGATAGATAGATAG